TGTTGAAATCGGACTAAAATTACGGCCGCTTTTCATATAACGGTAAATTTCAGAAATGCTTGAAATTTCAATATTTTCAAATTTAAGGACGCTAGTTTACTTAAAATTTATACACGCCGGCTTATCATGTAGCGGTAGCTTTCGGAAAGGTGGAAAACATATATTTAATACTTGCGCCGGGTATTTAATGTTCGGCTCCGCCCGAACTAAGACTTTCTTACTTGTTTCTTATTAACTACGAAAAAGCATCTGTGCACTTCACAACCACATATTTTATAACGTATGTATATACTAAAATTTAAAACGAGATGGGTTGGTGCTCTTTCATATGCGTATTTTTTTTAATTTAGCACCTTTTTTTTAATTCTAAATTTTTTTCCCTCAGTGTACAATTTATCATTTAACTCTAATTTAAACAAGTAAGAAAGTCTAAGTTCGGGCGGAGCCGAACATTATCAGAAAATGAAAAAGACAAAAACATGTGTTAAACATCAAAATTTCAAAGAAGGATGATTAAAATTGCCAAAAATTATATTTTTTATATAACCGACTTTTCAGATGATGGTTACTCTGCATAATAATTCATATGTATGTACGTGTATTGTGCTGCATACACCTTTTTCACATTATCTTCTCAAGAGCTCTAACTTATTCCTTTTAATTCCTTCAGCTGCATACTTCGTTCACAAATGTGTTGTTTTGCCTACATCAATACACCCATCGCATCTCCAGTATTCTTTGAGAGCATATGATATCAATGCATTTTCTCTCCTTTTTCACTTCGCTGAGTCTAGCGCATTCGCTTACTCAACTAATTTGGTGTTGTTGTGTTCTTGGGAGACCCCATTTCTAATACATAATACCTCTCTTTCTGACGCATTAGGTTTAGAGTTTTGCGTCTCGCTTTTTTGCTTCTTTTTACAAAACTTATTCAGGCGCTCAATACAAGTGCTTATATACCAAACTTACACTAAAACGGTAAACAAATGGATCGGAGGTTATGTAAGGTTGGTTAATACAACTGACACGAACATTTGCGTATACACACATACAGTTTATATATGTGCACACATACCAATGTATGTGGATAGCNCACACTAAAACGGTAAACAAATGGATCGGAGGTTATGTAAGGTTGGTTAATACAACTGACACGAACATTTGCGTACACACACATACAGTTTATATATGTGCACACATACCAATGTATGTGGATAGCCTGCGGTTGGAGTGTATATAGTGAAAGAGAGTTTAATATCATTTTGCATTATGCTGTATCAAACCGAGTGCAGCCGGACAGTATCTACTGGGCGTGCGTTACGACTTTGTTCAGAAAATTTGTATACTTTTAGGATAATACGAAAAACAAAAAGGACGTGCTGCCTCACGGGCAAATGTACACACATGCATATAGGTACGTATATACATAAATGCCCGCTGCAATACTTATGGAATCACATACAAGCATGGGTACATAGGAGCAGTTTACCCTTGTGTTTTCTTTTTTTTGGTTTCATCCGTTTGTTTCACTTCCACTACTCCAAAGAATTTTTTTGTTTGATATATTTCACTCAGCTCTTCGATGTCTTTTTCAACTAAACTATTTCCCCTTTTTACAACAAAAAAGCTGGCGCTAAGCTACCTTTCAACCCCTGCAATTGTCACGATTTTTCGACCAAGGCAGCTTCCTACTTTTGCGCCTCAAATATTTTACTCACACCAGCTTGAGAACCAACCAAAGGTACACTTTTCATGCTGAAATGGGAGGAAAACTGAAAAACTAGAGACTGCCACTTCCCTAACAGTGCTATTTATTTGTGAAGTTTTTCTCTTTTTCCTTTTTCGGTTTTCACTTTTGGTTTTTGGCTTTTCGTTTTTCCTGCTTTGTTGCATAAAAAGTGCATCTATGTACAGCATAGCTAATGCAAACAAATGCAAGGTGCCACACCCAAAACTGCATTTTTATTTTGCCATCCGCCACCGTTTTTGCACTTTTACCTTTTTTGTTCGGGTGACAGGGTGCAAAACTGCATTTGGTTGGAGCATCTAGTGTTAAAAATTGCATTTTATATGCACCTACAGCTTGGTGCCGACCAATGGGGAAGCATTTCTGTTGCCGCCGACGTCTCGGTTATTGTTTGGGGTTCCCTTCTAAAAAATACAGCTTTTTAGACTTGTTTTTGGCGCTGTTGAAACTTCGTGAACGCTTTTTTTGCCTGTATTATTTTATTTGGTATGTTTTTAATTAGGGTTTATGTGGAGAAAAACTCTCTTCGTTAGTATTCCTGGAGGACTTAAAAAATTAATTTTGTATTAAAACTAAAATAAATATGAATTTAGAAAACGGAACATAAAGATTTAAGTTTTTCACACATTCATAGATATGTATGTACATATGTATGTATATGTTTACATATGCTTGCGGTTGTGCTTGACAAGAGAAAACTCGGAAGTAAAAGTTTGCTTAAAATTTCAAACGAAGATTAATAAAATGTAGCAAACTTTTAGAAGTAACAACAGAAAAAGGTTGAAAATACAAAAGTACTCAAACTAATCAAGGTTTGTTGGGTTTTCATACATGCATTAGTATGAAAGTAATACCGGGACTAAACAAATATCCTTACTTCTATCCGATTGTTGAAAATATTTCGATTATCAATAAATCGCCGAAGTACTACTCCCTATTTCCATCTAGATTCAAGTGTTTGAATACGTGACTGTTTTCAAACAATTACGAAAAATTAGTGTTGTCACTAAGAAAATTGTTTTCCAACCAAATTTTTTTACATACATATATCAAAACTAATATATAATTAAGTTTTACCAATTCTATCAATATTTAGAGCGTTTAGGCCGTCACTAACTAGGAAGTTTCNACATACATATATCAAAACTAATATATAATTAAGTTTTACAAATTCTATCAATATTTAGAGCGTTTAGGCCGTCACTAACTAGGAAGTTTCAAATAAGGTTTACTTTGCCGACCGAAAACCACCTAACCTGCATACACAGTCTCGAACGTTAGAAAAACATCTTGTTTTACATTAGAGTTCTAATGCAGTTCTTTAATATTTCTCGAAGATTAAAATGAGATTAGAGAATGATTGGAAAAGCACTAGACATTAGCAACTAATTAGAACTCACGCTACGCTACGCTAGAATACGATTAGGTATCAAACCTTTTTCTCGATATCGAGAGAGAATGTTATAATTCTCGATAGTTGATCTTATCGTATTCTAAGCTTCTACCTTAGGGAAACACATTAGAATTCTAATCGGCTTCTAATCATTCTGTAACTTAAATAGAACAAAATATAAAACAGAAACGTGTATCTAACCATAAATACGGCTTATACTAGGTTCACATATAAGTAGATCATCCTCATTTTCGAGCTTAACTCCCTAATCTGTAATTAGAAAAAGAGATTAGTCATACAAAATTCGTCCCTTGCTAATCTGTAATTATAAAATAATCTCAGATTTAACCGATAGCTTTTCGGTGTCCAACCTGCTTTTATCGATTATTTTTGCAAAGAAGAGGAGAAATGCCAAATGTAAAAGTAAACAAAAATGGACGCTGGCAAGGAAAAGAGGTTTGCAAAGGTATATTTAATAAAATATTTAGTTAAAAAAAATTTAAATTGTTTTATATAGTAGAAAGAAGTGACCACGGTGGCACAGAGAAGAAACATAACCTTTCCTTGAGATCAGAGAATAACAAGCACAAAAAATTTTACGGCAAATAATCTGAGATTTGCCTGTGTAAGCGGGATAATTAATAAACGAGCTTCGATTGGGATAATATTTATGTGTGAACATACTCTTAGGATTAATTCATATTTCACATTGCATTGTCATCGGGTTCTGAGCTAAGTTTGAAAGTTCAAGTCTTAGCTCATCGAGAAGTTGGTCAAAGGCTGACGGCTATGTGCAATTACACACAGGCGAAACATAATGTAAGCTTATCAAAATGAATTGCGTGTTTAAGGCTGCGGGAATTCTATGCATTTCTGCAAGAATTCCGGTGTGGAATTCTTCAAATTTGCAACGCTATCCTTTATTAGAAATAAGTGGATAGAAGCTTATGACGTGTAGGGAGAGAATCTTCCACTACCATTTATTTGTTCAAAGCAATTTCTGAGTCTTAGGATAAGCTGAATAATTCCTCCTTGATCGTGCGTGTATGACATAGGTTTGCCGCAAATTACGTAATTTTCACATAGGCGTATTTTTATCCAAAATAAAATAGTAAACTTGCTGTTTAGCTTTCAACTAATGGGCCGATTACGGAGAGCAACGCAAACACCGTTCGGTTGCCAGCTGGCAACGCAACTAAAAAAAAATGATTACTACGAATGGCAACTATCTTCAGTTGCTGTAGACTTATCGACTGAGGAAATGGAAAAATAAAGTATACGAAATGTAAATATTGCCATAGAGATAGTATCCCCCTGTTGCTATCATCTAGTTCACAAGAATAATGGTAAAAAATATCTTTGAATATCTCTGTAAAACTGGTTTATTGAGGTAGCCTAATGGTGACAACATTATTTTTCCTTGCAATTAGAGGAACGGAGCGTATTGTGGATTCAGCGGCTATTGAGGACCACCTATTTAAAAAAAAAAACGAGAATCATTTAAAATAGCGAATTAAGCAAAAATTAACTGTGTGAAGGGAAAACAATAAATATACATATATAAAAAATTTCAGGCAAATATTGTGTTCGAAAAGTATGTAGTATGAATGGGATTTGGCCCCTGACGATGAAAGGATTGCGTGCACTTTAGGATTTAAGTTTTCAACTAATATGNAAGCGTATTGTGGATTCAGCGGCTATTGAGGACCACCTATTTAAAAAAAAAAAAANCGCAAACACCGTTCGGTTGCCAGCTGGCAACGCAACTAAAAAAAAATGATTACTACGAATGGCAACTATCTTCAGTTGCTGTAGACTTATCGACTGAGGAAATGGAAAAATAAAGTATACGAAATGTAAATATTGCCATAGAGATAGTATCCNGAAAAAAAATGATTACTACGAATGGCAACTATCTTCAGTTCAGAGTTATCGACTGAGGAAATGGAAAAATAAAGTATACGAAATGTAAATATTGCCATAGAGATAGTATCCCCCTGTTGCTATCATCTAGTTCACAAGAATAATGGTAAAAAATATCTTTGAATATCTCTGTAAAACTGGTTTATTGAGGTAGCCTAATGGTGACAACATTATTTTTCCTTGCAATTAGAGGAACGGAGCGTATTGTGGATTCAGCGGCTATTGAGGACCACCTATTTAAAAAAAAAAACGAGAATCATTTAAAATAGCGAATTAAGCAAAAATTAACTGTGTGAAGGGAAAACAATAAATATACATATATAAAAAATTTCAGGCAAATATTGTGTTCGAAAAGTATGTAGTATGAATGGGATTTGGCCCCTGACGATGAAAGGATTGCGTGCACTTTAGGATTTAAGTTTTCAACTAATATGAAACGTTTTATGTCAAGTTCTATATTTGCGCATTAAACGATTTTGTGCTAAAAAATTTATTTATTATCCTTTGAATGTTTATTAAGTATTTATTTTTTGAAACGTACATACATAATTCATAAATTACACTAGCGAGTATTGTGGCTTATTTGTATTTTCGAGGTTTCACACATTGGTGCTAATAATTTTATAATTTTTTATTATTTTTGTAATTTTCTGGAATCATGATAAGGGCTGTCAGATTGTGAAATTCCATACAAGAGTCGAATATATTCTAAGTTGATTAGTTTTCGGCATGAACGCCTTTTTTAACAATGGAAATTAGTTTGATAGATTGCATTTGAAATACATATCGCTAGCTTAGAAAGAAAAGTTGCTAAGTCCCATTTTAAAAATTTTACAGGAGATGAAAAAATCTTCCTATAGCCATTTTCTTTAACTATTTCGCAAGACTTTGAATCAAACATTTTGCGCGTTTAAAGCAAAGCAAAACTCCATAAGAATCAGAAGGTTTCGATATTTATTTAAAAATGTCGTATTATTTTGGCCTTATCGGATTTGCGGTGCTTCTTTTGGACTTAGCAAATTTTCCGTTTATTGCTTATGAAGAGGAAAAAATAGAACAAGTACCTTTATAATTTTCG